GATGGTGCAGTGGAATGCCCCGTAGGTGTTGATAATGACAATAACGGGATCAGAATGCGTTTAGGGTGTTTTTTTGTGGTTCAACCGAGGTGAAAAAAAAAATGCATTTTAATTGATAAATTGTCGGCAGGGTTACTTATACTCACTTGCTATAAAAAAATGTTTTTCGGTATTATGAAATCATGATATAGTATAATGCTTATTAGTACTTGTAAGTTACAAGAAGAGGTCATGAAGTATATGTTTGACACATAAAATCTGTCAATATTGCTTTCAGTGCGTCACAATCAGAGATTTTACGACTCGTGAGCGCTCACTCTGAGTGAACGCTCACGAATCATAAGATCGCTGATTGTGACGCTCTCAAAGCGAAGTTGACAGGTTTTATGAGTCATGATTGGATAATTCCGAATAATATTTTTTTATAGCAAGTGAGTGGAAGCAACCCTGATTGTCGGGAGTCCATATGATGTAGGGAGAGTTGAATAACGTGGAAATTATGGTGACTTGGCACAACGAGTTTTCTAATCATATGATATCGTTTGATTCAGACGAGGCTCGGTAGCTTAGCGGTTACCGTTTCTGCTTACTGAGCAAAAGGTCGAAAGTTCAGTCCTAGGCCAATCCCTTTCCTTTTATTTATCACTATGCTTAATTATCTATCTCCATAGAGTTCTCCAGATGCACCAAAGTGTTTGTGATACCGCAGGAATCTTTCTTAAGTAGTTGTTATATCGCGGGATATCTCCTTGGTTCTTCTTCCTATTTTATTCATTTTCTTGCCGACGTTTGACGTTAGTGTTCGTGAGATTGTGCTTGGAGATCTTTACTAGATTTAAATAAACAAATCTGCTTTACCGATCGCATCATTTACCACTGTTAATTTAGATAAAAAAAATAACCTGACCCATACGAACCCAACTTTCATTCCAATGGTAATAGTAGAGACGTAAAAATACGAAAATTGTTTCACTTAATTGTAGTCATTCAAAGAGAAAATATTTCATCGCTGTTATGCTTTTATGACAACTTTATTTCCAAATAAATGCATGAGGAATTTAATTTAATTTTCATATTTTATTTTAAAGCTTTCAAGTACAAACTAAATTTGTTAGTTTCACTCTATGTTAAGTGAATTTAAACCAACAAAAGTATTGTTCATCTGTACAAAATTATCTTAGCGTGCTTATAATGATTACGGCTAACGAAAACCAGTTCCTGAATAAATTTACAATAAGTCGTTATCTGTAAGAGAAAGGTAACCAGTTCCAATCCTAAGACAAACGAGAAAAAATGCGTTTTTTTTAAATGCTGTCTAGGATTTCCTAAAAATTAAATGCAACGAATCAACTGCCATGTGATGACAATGTGACGTAAATACATTTAGTGAATTGTTCAGAAAACATATATTTTTGTTTACCTCGCAATGATACCGGACATTTGCAAAAATATCACTGAATTTGATGAATAAGATCTAAACAAGACTAACATTATAATATTGTTTTAAATAGCTTTATATTCTTCAGCACTTATGTATAGCGAACGTCACTTATGTGTAGAAACAGTGAAACATTTTCTGTTTTGCCCATAGAATCTTGTTTTTTGGGTGCCACTAAAGATGCAGAACTAGAATATGGTGAAAAATGAAAATTCACCATGATGTCGTTTACGTCACTTTGTCGTCTCATGGCAGTCAAGAATAAGGAGCGTATTACAAATTGAAAACATGTTTGATAGATAGCGATACTGCCGGTGAACGCATAATTGTCCTATGTTCCATGGAGTTTTCTAAACGCATGGGTCAATTATGCTCCTAGCGGCAGTATATTGAGTATTTTTTGATTGATTATTTATTTATGAGATCTTTAGTCGTAGGCTAGATCATATCAAAGTATATTGAGTATTGGTTCGATAGACTATGTGCCACTAAATCAAACGCGATTAAGCAGAATGAGTGTCAAGAGACTACTACACTCAAACAGAACGGGTTCTGAAAAAGCTAGCAATGGAACTTACTAGTTCATTGTTTTGGATTTTTAATATGTCGCTGGAATACGGAAACTTCCCAAAAAATATGGATAAGCTTATTCCCAAATTAGTAAGAAGTTAAAATAATAAAAGCAGGCATTTATTTTTTTATACTGACAAAAATGAACTTTTACTTTTTTACAAAGTTTTTTGATGTATTAAAGAAACACTTAAATGTATTTGTTCTAGTCAACGTCGGTTGCACACTTAGAAATTATTACCGACTGCGGTCATTTTTTGTCGAACTTTCTGAACAGCGTACATTCAGTAAAACTTTGACCCTCAGCAGTTTAATTAAATTTTAATTTCAAAAGACTGTAAGCCTAGTTTAAATAATCGAGTCAGCCATTGAGGTGAAGTTTTCATTATTTTGATATGGGAGCTTACCATCAAGCATACTGTCATTGATCGAATGGTACAGTAGCAGCAACTCCCCTACCCGTGTCTCCTCAAGCTCGTTAAGTTGACGATTACAGGAGCACATACAGCGGTAGAGTTAACAACAGCTTTCCAAACCTATCGACTAGATGCTTACCTCACATGACGACTTGAGTGAGATACAATCGATAGAACCATATAGAACTGTTTCCGCACATCGAAGGTACGTGAGCATATCGGCGATCATATCTTTTGCCAGTGGTGGCGGGGTGAGATACCCCTTATCTTTTGCTCGCTTTCTTCTTTAAGTCTAATATTTGTCGTTAAGCATCTTCAACTATGTAAACTAACAGTATTAAAATCAGTAGCTAAGGTCTCTATCGCCCTGCATGATCACTTATTATATTGAGTGTTTTGTTAATTTTAAGGACAAACTAAAATTTCAAAATATAGATGTGGGATGAAAATGATAATCACCTAAATGACTTGCGAGTAAATTTCTAGCAACTGTTCTTATTAAATTAGATAGCCTGATCCGAAGTATATTTTCAGTTAAAATTACAAAAGAGATGTCTTAAAACGTATAGTTATGCCTAAATATAGTCAATTTCTAAAAAAAATAACAATAAATTTCACAGAATACCATTGATTTCTCAATACTGAAAATATTGTACTGTACTTTTTAAATAATTCAGAATAATTGACACTTAATTTAATTACAATTAATGACAACAATCGTTACAACCCTGTAGTTTACATTGCCAACAAACATGTATATTAACAGAGAAAAACGTGTAATTATACATAATTTAACATGAAATTTACATGATGTACCTGATCATCATGAAAATTACATGACAAGCTTGTAAACTTACATGCTTGAAGCAGTTACATTCAAAAATCTGTAAAATTACAAGTACAATTTCATTATTTATACAGCCAACCGGTGGATGTAAGATTCGCTTACAATTATGTGGTATTCTTCATCAGAGGATGTAAGTGGAGACCGCATGAACCGAGGATGCAATATACCTAGCTGCGGTCCAATGCAAGAGAATTGGAGACCGAAAAGTGTGGAGTGTATTAGTGAGTGAAATGAATTATGTCGAAAAAAATTGGAAAAAGGTTGCCGACTGGGACTCGAACCACGAACGTTGTGATTATCAGACCTGTGCTTTCTCCACTGCTCTCTCCATGCTTCTGAATATGGATAGCCTAAAAGCAAACAAGAAGCGCTCATTTCCTCTCACACTTGACTTCGTATGCTTTTTCTGCTGGAGAGATTCGAGGCAAGTGTGTGCGTCGTTCTGCCATGTTATACATAAAAATCAAGGCAAAAGCTTGCTTGTGTAGATGAAAGCACAGACAGAACACGAAATAAAAAAGGCAAAAAACCATTACATCGCCTGCAAGGTCAACTTCTAACATTCGCTGCGATGTTCATGAACAGAGGATGATAGGAAATGGAACTAAAATTCATTGTAATAAATTTTTGGTTTGCGTGTATGCTCCATTTTTTATCGTTTTTAACAGATCACGTCGCATGTAATTTTCATTATTTTTTAGTGTGTATTGATCGTCAGTAAAATAAATTTGAAATTTATGCAATAAAATCTTATGAAGAGCTTTGAGTGTGCTTGTACGCGTATTTTGTCTACTACTTGCAGACTTCATCAGTGCCAAGTACTCAACACCACTTGGCACTGATGAAGTCTGCAATTAAAAAGCATTTATAACGGAATTAAAAGGAAATAAACCAACACACTCGAAGCTCTTCATAAAGGGATTCCGTTAAGATGTTCGACAAATTTAAAAGATCAATAAAATCTTTTTGTTATGAGAAACGCTTCAACACAATCATTGTAGTCTCATTATGAAATGCTACCAAGATTTATCTTAATGTCAATCACCGAAAATTTTCTTCTAAAAACGCAACCCACAATGATCAATTTCACCCCGGTGATCAATTACATCCGGATTACGGTACGAAGACGAAAACTTAACACAAAATCATCGATATTGCATCAGGAGCGTCGTAAACCGACACGGCTTTATCAATAGCCTAGACGTGCTGGTGCTAGAGTGAATGGATTACCAACCGTAGTTTATGATTTTTCTAGTGGTTAAACAGTAAAAAATCCATTCTGACTACTTCGCAAAACATCATCACGTAAGAGTGCTACATACACATACATCAGGTTTACGATCTCTTTGAGAAAGTATGCGGTAGTAAACGGTTAATTGTCTGCGTGCGTACCGTGTAACCTTGCTTAATAATTTGTGATAAACAACTAAAGAACGAAACATGCACATGCAAAGTTTGAACTTGGTAATCCTGATGGTAAATTGAATTACGTATGACCCCTTAAAAACGATACTAGTCCTTAAAAAAATTCAAATTGATTTTTTAACATTCTGATTTTCAAGAGATCATATGAGAACAACGTTAACGAATAATAGCGTGGTGGTTAGAAATAACTGTAGTCAACGATTTTCGTACTAAACAAAAGTAATATTAAGAGCATCGATTTTAGTCCAACACCAACCTAGCACCGGCGTGGACTATCAATGCGAATGAAGGAAAACTAAATTACCTTCATCTTCCATAACCGGCTCCAATTCATCATCTTCGCGGTTGGTCAAGTAATTTGGTTTTGTTTTGCGTTTTTTTTTTTTTGTTTTGTTTTTGTAGAAAGAGAATGTGAGCAAAAACGACCAAATGGTTCGAGAAAGGCAGGCACCACGCGTCAGTCATATCCATCACATCGCAGTGATTGTGTAGATCCAAAACCGTGCAGCATAAGAGGCGAAAAAAGATATCGGCGAGATTAAAAGGTGATTTGATTTGGTGCTATCTTGGGACTTCAGAGCCGTTAGATTTATATCAAGGAGAAATCGAAACAATCAATTAAGACATTTGTACATTGAAGAAATTATCAAATATTTTCTAAACTGAATTAAGACTGATATGTATTTAGACTGAATTATAATGGTTCCTTAAATCTTTAGCGATGATTAATGTGGCTATGAAATAATCAAGTCAGATATTTTGTTTCATCTATGAGGGAAAGATGCAATGCTAATTTATTCACCATCGATCTCCTGTTATTGAGATGTCAATTCCATCGTCTTCATATTCCTAGCTGCGATCACAACAAGCTAAGATAGCATAGGAATTTGACAGATCTTTCTTGTATAATTTATCGCACACGGTAAGAAAAAAATACCCATTTATACTTACTATTGAGTTGTGCATATCCTTTCATCTCTAACATGTTTTGAAAACAAAAAAAAAACCCAAATGGGAAAGCTCTGTACTGCCGAAAAGTTTAGTAAATAACCCGACAATTTTTCAATACACGTGGAAGGAACCCAACTTTGGATACATTTTTCTAAGCGTGTAGTTGTTTCGGATGTTGGTTGTTGGTGGTAACATGATGAAGTGAGTGTAAATCGAGAGGTGAAGTGAATTAAAAGAGAAACAGTTATATTGAGTTGTAATTTTCGTTCTTCTCCAACCAGAACCGATAAAACAGAGACACTTGATAGGACGGACGCCACCTCTCGTATGCGACAAATATAGATAAGACTAAACAACATACTGAGAGGTGTTTCAACAATGGAATCGTTGGCAGTTTTGCGTGTATAGATACCGTTTTCAATTTTGGTGATAGCAAATAATAGTGCGTACCTTCGTTAATGTATCCCCCGGTGTCCATGTCGTGCAATGATTTCATTCCGCTTGTTGATCAGCCTGAAAATAAAAAAATACACGTCAATCATGCTGTCCTATATATTGTTTAAAAATATATTTTATCATGAGTACAGCTCTAATAGATTTATGGAAATTTCTCTACCCAAGTCATCCCATAAAAGAAACATCAAGCGTAAATTACTACACTTTGTGGCTTCGGATCACCATCACAACATAAACATCTGGTTTGGGGAGTCGTTCGCTTGAATGACACTAGCACTATGTGAGATGACTGATTAATATAACCAGTAATAAAACTGTGTCTCCTATACCATTCTCAATATAGGGAAACTATGGGCCACTAATAGACACAGAAGTGAGCAAGAACAGTATGCGCTACTTTAGCGAGCTAGATCAATTACACAATTAAATGATAATTCTTTCGCTCATCGTAATTATTATGCATTGAGCAATTATGTCACTGAACAAGGCGCGTTCAGTAATTTTAAGACACAATCATAAAAATAATTCACAAATAACAGAAATTAAAGCAAAATACGAAATATTTTAATCCTGTCGCAAAAAAAAATAAAAACAACAATCAGGAGTATATTCACGCTCTCTCAAACCGCCAACAGGAGGAGAATGAAGAAGTCATTAAAACAAATATTTGCTTTTTTGTTATTTCCACACTCTTGCTATAATGTGCTTTTGAGAATTCTGCTACGAATGTTTCCTCATAACACCGACCGTCGTCATCCTGACAAGTATGATCAATAAATCTACTCAAAATGTTCACCTCCTTCTGTGCGATGGTACTGCTACGGACGAAACGAAACTGTGCATTCATTAGACATGCAAGACGATAAAAATCGATTCCATGAAGCGATAAGTTACTCGAATTTAGCATTCAATATGTGGATTAACGCGGCGACTTGCTTTGCCGTTTCGGCTAATATGGACAGGATGTTTAATGCACTTTTGTAAGTCGAATAACCCGAAACACGTGTGATACTTTTAACTTACCTTTATCGAAGGCCGATTGTGCTTGTTCAGCTTTTCAACCAGTGCGGCTGGTGGCAGTTGACCCGGTTTCCCCTTTGCAGCTAGCAGAGAAGTATTTCGGGTATCGAAAATAAAAATAATCCAAATTTGCTGAAGTGGAAGTAGCAATTTTTTTCCTCTCTACTCTCACAATTTGTGTTTTTATACCGATGAAAGAAAACACCTCGTGCTTTACCAATTGATTGTAGCTAGCAGACAACTTCTGAATGCACGACCGCGGTGACTTCAATCTAGTAGCCTCTCACCAATTAGACTGCGGACTGAGTAGTGGCAGCAACTAATCACCATTCAATATTATTTTGCATGTGCACTTCATTCATACTTGCACATATGGCACTAAGGTATCACAGACTCGTACCACCGATAGTAACACAATCTCACCTAGGTTCAGTTTTACCCTATGTAATCGCACTCGATTTTTTGTTATTTGAATTCAAATCGTTGAACTAATCCAAGCAAACTACAGAGAGCCAGCATGCAGTCGGTCACTTTTTTTCATCACAGATTTCCACGCTTCACGCTTGCTTTGTTCGATGCAAAACGGAGTTTTCCTTACTTCCTTCTTTCACTAAATTATCACATTTCCACGATGAGCAACAGAAAAAAACCGGAATTGCCACAACAGACCTACTCCCGTGACCATCTATCGAGAACTCCTGTAATCAACTGAACTGAACTGAACTGAAATCAACTGTTTGAATGGTGCGAGACGACGCGAGAGCCGAGAGCCGGGAATAAACAGTTTATCGCGCGGAAAAATGCGAATGAAACAAACCACGGAGAGTGAACGGAGAGAACAAGAGCGAATCCGTATCAAATTTATTCACTGCGGTATGCATCGTATACGCGAGCAGGCTGAGAGTTTAATCTCGTGTGCTCTGCTTTCTACCAGCGCTTTCAGGGATTGAAATAACTCTTCAGAATAAAATGCAGAAGATGAGATTTTGAGTTATTTTGAAAATTATTATGTTTACGGACTTGCGCACAGCATGCTCCCACCGTATATATCCTTAGCCGGAATATCAATTCCAGATAAATTCAATAAGGATAGGTACGTCAAATGGATCTTCTATGCTGGGTTTATCAAAACTGATGGGTCACGAGTTTATGGAATTTATTGAAGCATATCTTGAAGTTTGAAGTTTGGTCCTCCCTTAGCGCAGTCGTTGATGGCGCACCTTTAAAGTAAGATCATGCTGGAAGCGGCTGAGTTAGATTCCTGGTACGGTCTAGAAATTATTCGGGTTGAAAAACTCTCGCTTCCCTTGGCATAGAGTATGATTGTGCTTGCCCACATCACTTACAAAAAATTATCATCAGCAATGAAGGCAAGCAGCCGTGATGCTGTTTGGCCATGTTTCTCTTCAGAATTCTCCATGCATCAACCGTTAATCCTTCAATTTGATATTCCACAAAGGTAAGGATATCTTCGTTACTCTAGTAATATTATCCATTCCTTACAGCTTTATTTGAGTTCTATTTTTTTTATATGAGCGAATATTATTCCATTCAGCCGGTATGTTATATGCCATTGTATAGTTTATAAAATATTTCGAAACGTTTGCTAGCCAATAACAAAACCTTTGATTTTATTAAAACTGTTTGCTTCAATCAATAGTTTTCTAATTAATGTAGGGACATTTGTGCGACTGTTTTATGAAACCATAATAAAACTCACAATAATTTTTTAATGCGGCTTTGAGAGAGCGCTTGATATAGCTATTTTATCTCCATTAAGATATCTTAAAACAAAATGGGGATACTCCTGTTACGGGATTTGTAGGCAAGTTGATGAAATTTTCGATCTTACTTCAGATTTTACTAATTGATATTTTTTTATTTTAAGCAGCCTCGTTAGTCTTGCCTTGAAAGGAAGGCTACTCCCACCATCACCACCAAGATGTAACTTTCCTTCAAGCACGTCCACATCGAGTTCGTCTGGTAGAAATTATTCCAATATCAACTGTATCACTTTGAAGCAAGCTTCCAATGGAAATACATATAAGTAAACTAAAATAAATTAAATCAAATATTTCTATGGATATTTTTTTAAATATATAGCAATTGATTTAAAAAGAATGCATATTTGCGTCAAAAACAAACATCGTTGCGATAAAAATGCCCATCGTATAAATTAAAACCATTCATGAGTCTATTTAAAAACACAGGTTTTAAGATTGACAGTTCTACAATTCGATTTGAAAGTTTCAACTTTTAAAATTAAAGAACAAACTACTTTTGAATTGACAGTTGGCTGACTTGTGTTTTGAATATTACAGACTTTCTACCAAAAAGAACCAACGCAAACTTTTATACGCAATTTTTTTTTTTTTTTTTTTTATTATTAATAATAATAATGTTTTGTGTGAAGTTTTCACCAGAAGAAGTTGAAAAGATTTTTTTTTCTTTAATTTGTTTTCGCCAAGTTGAAAAGATATTACGAGTGACCAGAAACAATATGGATTGTTGATGGCATTATAGTTACCGCCTTATAAAGGATTAAATGGGATTTCCTATTCCAAGCTCTCCATTGATAAACCATATGTAGCCAAACCCGTCTGTTTATTATAATTTGAAAGTGCTAAAAGCATGACCTGCATAGAAAATAATAGTTTTGCATTTACTATGCAGTTAATGATTCCTCATTTCTGAACCGTATCCCCCCACTTCAACAACGAATAATCGAATCAACATATGAATAAAAATCTCTTTAGTAAGATTAATAAATAAACCAATTATCCTAATTTACACAATTTGACAACTTGTAATGTATGCATCAATTAGGATGCAAATCAGCTCTGTAATATTGAAATTTTAGTAATTTTTAAGCCGCCCATATACAGGTATGTAATAATTGAGAGCTTCCAAGTTTTGACATACATTTGACGTGATTTGTTTTTATTCCACCTAATTAATATGCATCCAAAATGTAAGATTACCAGTGCTAATCGGAGAAAAATAGTTACTCACTTGCTGACTAATGAAACCCTAACTTCAAAAATGTGTCATGCTTGGAATACATAAAAATGTTCCCATACGATCGTTTAAGACTCGTGTGTTCTTCTGCATTGCCTACAGCCTACAGCCAGCAGCTTACTCCAAATGCATGAAAGCAAAGTAGAAGAAGAAATATACTCAACGCAGCAACAAATTTTCATCGAACAGTATCCTCTTCACATGGGATCACACATATGCTTGCAGAAGTCGAGTGAGTACTACGCCTAAGCCAGCCGTGACAGCTTTATGGAGAAGATTTATTTCGGAACCCTGGCAGAGCTGCACTTGGCCTTTGCGTTGTTTTTGCAAACGCTGCAAATCTCGATGAGTCACAATTGCTGCTGCAATTTCATGTTTGCACGGAACTCCAAACAATAAGACATTTATATTGGATGTGTACAGTGACTACTTTACTATGTCTGATAGCTCATCCAACGAAAATGCTTGTATAATTCGCATATCTTCAAGCAATATGAAATGATGATAGCAACATTGTTAATCCTTTAAGTGACAATTATCCTAATGGAACTTTAACCTTCACCTAAATCTATTTCAATTAAGTATGAAATTTCAAGATCTCCCAGACGCCTGCATACAATGCCGTTAGTTGAACGCCTATGGATTTCGATCAAACCTTTCACAGAGAAAGCGAGAATATGATCAATCTGATTCAATAATAAAATGTACGTGAACAGAACAATCTCGGAACCCAATCTTGACATGCACGTTATCTGATCAATCAAATCACAAATGATCATCGCTTGTACCGTTTAGATTTGCTTTTTCGCTAGAGTGCAGTGGGAACGAAAGATAAATAAACTCCAGCGAAAACATATCGAATTTCGCCTCTGTTGTACACAATGCGTACTGTGCCTCTTTTCATCCATTTTGGTGTATGCTTCCGTTGTTTCTGAAGTTCACCATATGTGTGTCACTGAGGTACAATTTATGAAACGTTCAGATACGCTTCTCTATCGGAATCAGGGTCAAAGATAGTTGTTAATATTTCAATACGCACAAGCACAACACTCGAGTAGGTATGCGGGCGCGCAATAGTTTTTATCGATGTTATCATTCCAAACACTATCGCGACGAATTTCGCTGCACGGTGATAATGTGTTATCTTATTTGTTCGCCTCGGATGATGAGTATTCCCATTCTAGTTAATGTCATCAAAGACTAGTACGCCTACAAAAAGAATGAAATAATTGTTTACCAAAAGAGAAAAAAAAACTACCAGAGAAAACAAATCACCTACATGGTGTGAGTTCCTTAGTTACATAACACAGCCATTCGTATAAACAGCTGTAATCCAAAAATATATATATAAATAGGTGATATGAAGGAAACCGTGCAGTTGTTCACGCACGTGGTTATTTTACGTAACCATATGGTTACCATGAAAATCAACGTACATCACCTTTACCAGCTAAGTACCTGTACTTGAGAAATAAAATTTCCAGCTCAATGTCACACACGTGATCTAGATTAGTTTGTGTATGAATCAAACCAAATAATTCAGTCACGATTTTCCGATTATTTGTCATACCGACAAAACTAACATGAGCCGAATGTGTCAACTGGTAAACAAAGCTCAGAGCAGCAAAAAACTTTGAATCGTTCCACACGCCAAATATTTACACGCCTCCTATTACTCATAACGAGATTCATCGCTACTGGCTCCAAGATAGTAAACGAATATGGATTATGTCATTTGAATTTATGACAACCATGAATGAATTCGCGGAAGATCATAACTTAATGTGATGAGTCGTAAATGCTTACTTGTGCTATTTTTTTAAGATGGAATTGCATTTGAATTGAAAATTGCTACTGAAGGGATAAAGTACAGTATCCCTCCGCTAATTTGACATAATCATGGCTAGACTATTGGGGTTTGACTCGCTAATTAGACTGACAAATCCATGCTAAAAATAAAAACAAACAGACAGCATGCCTAAAGCACAAATCTGAAAATTTACAGCACAATGTATTCAAACGCACGTTTATACTTTTTAATCCAACATTTTCCGGATTAGCGTGGGATACTGTACTTTAAACATGTAGAGTAGTTGAGCCAGTTTTGGCACTAGCTCCAGTATTTGGCGATGTGGGAATTGTAGCTGATAATATTAGGGATGTATTGGGTTCTAAGCATCTGTATTTCAGCACAGCATCATATAATCTTTTCTCTGTGAATGTGGACAAGGCTGATCACATCCTTTGGTCTTTGTGCGAAGTATCGTGGAGTCAGATCACATTTTTATGACTCCTTTCTGGCTCGAGGTAGACAACCTAATGTTCCAGTTTTGGGATATTTTGGCTAGACGCGTTCTGGAGTTTATGAAACTCATAAATGTTAACTTTAAGGGGGGAAAATACAAGTTAAAAAAAACTTTTTTATCGATTTTTTATATTTACTTAATTTTTTTTAAAAAAAATTGCTACGAGCACGAGGAAGGAGTGATCTATGGCCCCGGTATCGCCGATTAACCGTAAGTTCCAGAAATCATGTTTTTATACAACCCAAAACTTTAAACGCGTTTTTCTCGAAACGATGTTTTCCAAATTGGCGGGAAAGATAACTCAAAAAGTTCTCATCCAAATGACTTGAAACCTGGTGCATCTTAAAGGAAATAGATTTTTACTCTATGTGAACCACTGATAAATTATATT